TCGTAAATACATTCGGTAAATATTATTTTACTGTGCCTGCAAAGAAAATGTTCTAGCAAAAACGGTTTTCTCTTTAATTACTTAATTGAGTTTATGTACAAAATCTACAAGATGCTTGAAAATATTTTCCGGCAACTTTCTTCATAAGTTTCAGAATACAAAATTCGCTCATCGTCTATATATTTATCGTTATATATTTATTGACTGCTTTAAAAAATAAAAAACTTTTTCAATGTTTGGCTATTTTCAGATTGGCTCTCTATTGCAACTATTTCCACAAGAAATAACACAAAAGGATTTCCATTCGTTTCCTTGAAATCCGTTAGTGATGGCAATACCTCATCAACTGGTGTCCCTTACTTATACTTAACTGATATGGATGTAACTGGACAGGACGTTTTAGTAAGTGAGCTATTTTTTTTATTTTGGTACCGCAATATATTGCAAAAGCGATTATTAAGAACCGATATATATGGTGCTTAATCAGAAATAATATTTAATAGTTTTACAGGGTAAAATAAATTATATAGGGTATTCTAACTAAATTGACAAATAATTACAGCAAATGTTAGAGATGATTTGCATTGAAGATGCATTTTTATGTACAAATTTTTTTTATTAGACACATAAGGGAGGGTAAACTGATTTTAATTATATTACTGTTATCTAAGGTTTTCTCGCATTTTCATACCCAAATCGAAAACTTCGAAGGAATTTAGATTAAAATCATTTTGTGGCGAGTAACTGAGATATATACAAGGTGGTTTTTTAGTGCGAGAGAGTCCATTATTTCCTTTGGTGTTGAACTTTCGAAAAATAGTTTCATATAAAAGTTGTTGCCGCACAAAGTACGCACATTTTAAAAATATTTTATATGATACAGAGTGTCTCAGAAAAGCGAGGCAATATCAAAGTGTATTTTTTTAAATAGAGCTACCCATTTTTCATTAGCTCATGGAATGCAGCTTGAAACGCTGCATATGCACCGTACATTGTTTTTTCTTACTTGCGACGTTGGCAGATTATCGCCATTTTAGTAAAATTTTGCTTAAAAACATGGTATCTAAAAATTTATTGTAGAAGCAAAAAAATACGTCTTTCCAATCACCACAGATCCGTTAAGAATTCTATTGAACCAAAATATCAATACATTGTACAGTGTGTTAACAATGTGGACTTCAATCTAAAACTTTTTAACGCAATATAACTTTTGTTTTTCAAATGGAAGTACCTGTATATTAATACGTCATTAGATAGACAATTTACAAAGTTACAAATTTTCATTTACACTTTAAGCTGTGAAATCTACCGATATCAAATTATAATTGATTTTATTTAAAAATGTCAAAAAGTTGTTACATTTTGTAAGGTGGCTATGGAATTCAATAGATAAGTGTCAATTTGATGATACTTGACATATCGATATGCATTTAGTATATGACGACTAGTTTAAAAGTCATCCATATTATTAAAAAGCTCTTAAAAAAAACAAATATGAATTTTTCTAAAGAAGAATTAATGCATATGGTGATAAAAACTACGCTCGCTACGCGACTTTATTATCAACATTTTCCTGAAAAAAGACAACGGCAATAAAAAGACGTTTGAAAAAACGGTTCACACGAACAGGAAAAGGAAAACTTTCCTTTATGAAAATTTGAACATAAACGAAGCAAAATTTCTCATCGTACCGCACTAGCACCCATTACTGACGAAATTGTAGTTAAAATGTACAAAATAAAAAATGGTTACCGCATATGATACGCCTACTACATTAAAGTAATTCTTTGTGATAAATACCAGTAGTCGACAACCAAAGTTTAGACAGTAATAAATAACACAAAAATGTTCGGCTGGTGAGTGGTAGAGAAATTTTTGACTTGTTGAGACCAAATTACCAAAAAAACTAAATAATGCTTGCTAATTGGAAGAATTATAAAAATAAACGCAAATTCGCTATTTTCAATTTTCGTCAGCTGACTACAGGACTGACGCCCGTGTCTAAAATTATTTAGTTCGATATTGGAAAGATAAACCAGTAATAAAGATAAAGAAAATTGGGTATAAAAAATATAAAAATCGATAAACCGAAGCACATTATAATCGTGCGTTATTAATTATTTCGGCAAATAAAAGTGAGAAATATTTAAATGTGTTTGTATGTATGTAAATGTGAAACGGGAAAAATGTGTCTTTCGGTCAGTATTCTCGATATGCAATTATCATTAATATTTTGAGCTTTTGTCAAAACTATTCTGCTTTTTACAACTTCCATGCCAGTTGGTCCATTAAAATATTTCTGTTTCCTATGACATACACATAAAACAATACTGGCGATAAAATCAGAAGCTTCAAGATCTTTGTATTTTCTCGTTCTTCCATTTGTTATTATGTGTTAGTTGCTATTTTGTGTTTTCATATCATTTCTATCATGTTTTTGCCTTTCAGGAAAACGATAAGGTAACAATTATGGCTTCTTTGGCTCAGTCTGACTATTGCACTACGAAAGGCTATGATCCTCAGGATCCTCGTTGCGCTAAAGTGATGATATCGGGAACTGTTGAAAAGGTAAAAAATAAATCAATATTGTGTTTATATAACATGCCACTAAGGGAATGCAGTAAATACTTCATTCTCTCTAATTTTTTCTTGCCTTAGAATCGTAAATCTATCTATAATAATTAGTTTTCGTACTTTTTCGGCCGCAAACCACCGATCAGTTGTTAAATAAAATGTTTGAAATGAAAAAATGTATTTAATATTTTCTTGGCAAAAACGTTTTTAATTCTCTGAACGTTAAGCCTCTGTTAATCTCTTAGAAAGTTGACTGTTATGTTGAACTACTAAATTGAATCCCTGGGCCCTCTTTGACCAAGCTTATATAATTTTTTGTCCCTAGAATAATGCACTGATTATTAAGAAAAATTTCTGAAGAATAAATGTTCAGGCAAAAGATCAGAGCAGAACTCTAAAAAATACTCTAATATCTCAATCGCCAGTTATATAATTTAAAGCTTAATGGCACTGTTTGAAAAGGCTTTTTATGGCAAATTGTACATAAATTATTTTATTATAGTTGGCGAATACAACAGAAGAATTCTTCGTTGGGCAAAAGGCACTTTTTGATAGACATCCAGAAATGAAAAAATGGCCAGATAGTAAGTGGTATTTCAGAATTAAGATATGTTTTTCTACCAGCTTAAATCCCATTTTGTCAAGGGAGCAAAATGGATAAATTAACCCATTAACTTCCATTTTCAGACCATGGGTTTTATGTCGCCAAGGTGAACCCATCCGATATTCTAGTTTTGGACCATTTCGGAGGCGCTGAAAGCGTAACTGTAGAAGACTACTTTAATGCCAATTTGACGAACATTATTGACTTAGATGCCTACTTTCGTGCGGTTGCAGTGGTGATCGTAATGGCATAGAATTGTCGACTATAATTGTAAATAAATTCCATCCATGGCCAATTAGTGTTGCTTTTGTTCGACAATGTTTCTTTTCAGTTCTAAGCTGATAAATCATCCTATTTTACTCCTATCCCCTATTGAAAAGTGATATTTATTAATCTGGTTATTGGATGAACGTTTGCAACGATTTGCGATAAAATGACCAGAAAATATTATCTACGATTGACACCAAGTTCTCAGTAAACTACAAATTTTCTTGGAAAACATTAGTTTTTAGTAAACTACAAATTTTCTGGGAAAATATTGTTCTAATAAACATAAATCTGTATCATATGCTACACAGGGTGGTCCAGTTTCCTGAGCGAAAACTTCTGCGAACGATAGATAATCAAAAAACAACATGAATCTAAATTATAAACTATATTCGAGAAACGCTTCGGTAAGGAAATAAGTACAGTTAATCACTGTACTTATATCTTATTAAGATTGGCTTTAAAAAAATAGAAATTTATTAATTGTTGCCAAACGGCTATGGATATTTAAACGAATTTTCGCAGGCGATAACTGCCAACGAGAGAGCACAATTTGTAATAAAAACATTTTTTCCAATCATTCATCATTATTTAATTTTCAGAACAAACATTACTGTTGGATGTTTCATGAAATTCAGTGTTTTCAAGTAAAATATAAAAAACAATGGATAATAATCTAATAATAATACACATCAATGAAAAATAGGTATAGGAATTGCTCGAAATGTACTCTTAGTATGTACAACCATCTCATATTTTCTTCTCCTTTTTTGGACCTAAACCAATTATTACGAAAATGGCATAAGATCCACTTCGCCAACGCAATTGCATGCGCTTTAATTTTATACCAGAAAAAAGTGAGCTATAAAAAATATCGAAAAAAAGTAAAAGTAATAAATTATTTGTGAAGTTAAGTAGCAAATGCTTCTCTTTTATTTAGTAGTAATTGTTCTTGATAGTGTCATTTCTTCTTAAAATGCTTTTTAGTAAGCCCAAATATGCAGATATTCATTTCTGTTACAAATTTGCACATCAAAGACGTTTTCCAAATAGGAAAATGTTATTAGAATTTTAGTAACTTTGGCTTATGTGCTATAAATGAACATAACAGAAACCGAAATAACAGTTAGAATCGGATTATTCACACTTTTGATGAACAGTTTCAGCTTGAGCTCTCAGAGGCCGAATCAGCAACTACGAATTTCTACGTCTTAAATATTAAGGACACTACGAGATACTTATCGGACATATGCACATCACCTACAAGATTTACATCCTGGGCCCAGATAGCACACAAATATTACAGTAATATTTTTTTGCAATATTTAATATAGGTTGAAGCGACAGATTCTTGAATATTATAACAATATTTCTT